ACTTTGAGTTGGGTCGGTCGTTTTTGACGGCTGTGCTTACCTTGAAAACCTCTCATTTCCGAAGTTTTCCATGGTGTGCTGCAGGCCTTGCTCACCATGATCAGGAGCGTGCTCGTGAGGTCTGGAATCGCATCCGGTGTCTGTCGGATGAGGGGCCTGAGGCCGTCCGGCTTCGCAAGCAGTTGCCTCGCTTGTTTTCGCGAGATGTCTTGCAGCAGGGTGACCAATGGTGTTGCGGTGCAGATTTGAGTTCGTGTCCATTGTTTGCAGCTGAGATCGCAGGCTTGGCATTAATTCCCACTGCAGAGCGACGTGTGGAAGCCCAGCATGCCCGCACACAGAAGGGCTCCAAGAAGAGCCCATGCCATTCCCCAGCATACATGTCCTTGCAGATCCGAGCCAAAGACTTGCGAGATGCAATGTGCGGAAACCCCAAAAATTTCGTTGCGCAGCTTGCGCCGTGTGTGAATGAGTGCCGAAGTTACAAAAAGGCGGCCAAAACCATGAGGCTGGGGCTGCATCCAGCGTTTGTGGAATCTTCTAGGCCCCGTGACAGGCGGGTTCGAGATTTGTTGTATCGTGCCGACATGTTGAGTCAGCATCAGACCATGCCAGAAGTGTTTGTGCGTGACCCAGCCACTAAATCGGCCCGGCGGCCAGCGCCCCCAACGGCAGAGGAGCATGCAGTTGAGGCCACAGCGCTGGGGCCGATTCTGCATCGACTTGCTTTGGAACATGTGCTTGATCGCTTGCCTGTTGTTAGGAACTCGGGAGAACCTGTGGTGTTTGCTGTGGCCTATGAGTCTGGGGCTTTCGCCCTGCTTCGTGAGTTCTTGCTTCCCTCGCAGGAGCAGCAGCCGATGCCGATGTTGACGTACTCATCATCTGAGGTGGTTGCATCCGATGAAATAGTTGAGGCATCCGGCCCTGGCCCTCGCAGAGAAATAGATGTTCTCTTTCAGAAAATCAGCCAGGCAGAAGCAACACATCATCAGATGACAGGCGTCTTTTTCAAGTTGTTGCCATCCATGTCGAAGATGAAACGCTTCCAAGCTGACGGTGAGCTGCGACTGAGCAGCACGGACCTCCCCATCGCGTTGCTTCGGGCGGCTTCCTTCAGCCAGGAGCGAAGAGAGCTGCTCGTTGATTCGGAGTTGCTTAACATGCGGTCTGCAGTCCGAGGCCTTGCTGTGGACGACCTTCCTTGTGTGCTTTCATTTAGCAGCTTGTCCTTGTCGCAACTGAAATCCTTGAGAGTGTTGAAAGTTGACCCCAGCATTGTATATTGTTTGCGGTCTTGCCAAGACTACTCGCCTCCCCTGTCAGATTCGCGGGCCTTGCGAGTCGTGCTTGAGAAGATTTTCTTGAAAGGCAAGGCAGGCGTGGCAGACACATCATCCTTCACGGCTGAGCAACGATCACTTCTGTTGCCTTTGCAGCAAAACGGTCTGCTGACTGAGGATCCACCATTCAAGCTCACAGACAAAGGTTTGCGACATGTTTGTTTGGCCAATGCCGTGACCCACCCACGTCTTCTGCTTGCGAAGTTGCCTGTTCCACCTGTGGAGCAGTCGAAGTGGCAGCTGCTGCAAACACTGTTGGACGACGGCTGGGAAGCACGTGTTTGCCGTGCAAGCCAGTGCCGATCAGCTGTGCCCTTTGATCACAGGGTTTTGCCTGCTAGCAAGATTTTGTTCCTTGTGCAGCAAAAGTCCGGTGTCGTGGTTGATCGCCTGTACCTGCTCGCTTTGACATTGGCTGTGCAGCATGACTTGCAGCCAGTTCGGCACGGTCAATCAGCAGATGTGTACAGAAGGCTCCTCAGCGGTGTTCCTGACCTTGCGTTGCCAGAGCCACGGGCGTCACGTGCCAGAGTGCGTGCCTTCCGTGCCATTGCAGAAGGCGATGAATGGTTAGATCATGTCCCTGTGCGGCCGCCCGCACGCAAAAGGAGAAGATTGAAACAGCAACAACGCCCCGAGCCGCTTCCAGAGGGCGGTGCTCACCCGGCAGCCATTGAGCGTGACGATGGTGGTGCCAGTGCTGTCTGTGATGCATCTCCTGTTGCTGCTGTAGAAGATGCCCAGGATGCCCAGGATGGCCCCGGCGATTCCGATGATGCTGGTGATGTCGATGCATTGCTTCGCATGATAGATGAGATCGACGAAGATGAAGCAGCAGCTGAAGTTGAAATTGAGGCAGCTGAGGCAGCTGCAGACTCTGCAGACGACGGCGGAGGAGTGGGCGACATCCTGCCTTCAATGCCCGAGCCGGCACCGGCGGAGCCTAGCTACAGTGGCAATTCCAGCAGCAGTGGGAGCACCTCAGATTCCGATTCCAGCAGTGGCACGTCTGATAGCAGCTCAGGTGATTCAAGTGGCAGTGGCTCAGGCAGCATCTCCACCGGCAGTGGAGCCACGGACGGCGCACCGGCTCCCAAAGCAAAGGCAAAGGCGAAAGCAAAATCCAAGGCTAAAGGCAAGGCCAAGGCAAAAGCTCGTGCCGGCGGTGGCGGTGCACTCGGACCCCTTACCTTTTTCTGGAGAGGCTGTAAGTTTACTCCCATCAAGGGCAGTGATGGGAGCACAACAGGATACGAGGCCACCTGCAAGCATGCAGCACATGAGCAGTGCCGTCGGACACTCCTGTTCTCTGCTCATGGCGGTGAAGATAATGCGTTGCTCAAGTTGAAGTGGTGGTGCCTTCAAGCAAGGCACTATGCGAACAGGCAAGAGCATGTTCATCGGTGCCCGCATAGTATTCCTGGTGTGGCACCCGCGGCAGCTCAGCTGGATGCACAAGGCTTCGGCTTCGATTGAGGGGGAAAGAGTCTGAGTGCTTGAGTGCTGTCGTCAGGTGCAATCAGTGCATGGATGTTTCAGTTTGCTGGTTCTGGTGTGTGTGTGTGTGGCACAGCGCTGGCACATGTCAACGGCACACAGCAGACGTAACAAGGTCAGAGGTCTATAGGTGTTTGAACCTTCTGTCCGTGTCCTCAAGTTAGGAAAGCCCAAACAAAAAGCGCTCACCATTCAGCGAGTCGGGGAGTCAGCAGAGTTACCGTGTTGAAGCTCATGCACCCCATCATGAAATGTAGTCTCTGGCAGAGACTACATTTCATGATAGTCTCTGGTCTGTGGCACTTCGCCGTGCAGCTCGTACTTGTGTGTCTAGCATAGTGTCCCCTTGCCCTAGCAGAGAAGGTGATATTAGTACCGAACGAAGAAGATGATGAATCATCCTGATGATGGTGACGGCGACTGTGGTGATGAAAGGTTAAGACTTAGGATGAGGGTGCGAGGCGGCGGTGGTGGTGGTGGTGGTGGTGGTGGTGGTGGTGACGGCGTGATGGTGATGGTGATGTGTGATGATCTGATGATGACGACGACGATGATGATCATGCTGATGCTTGGGTGCTGGTAGTGGTCATGTTGTCTTGCTGTTGCCAAAAGATGGTGCGATTATGGATATGATGATGGTGATGAGCGGTGATGTTGCTGCTGGCTGTGAAGATGAGTATGTTGATGCTGCTGGTGTGGATGATGCTTGGTGATGCTATAGTAGTGGTGGCACAGTGGTGGTGATGCTGAATGATGACTTGGAGACCAGCTGCTTTGACTGAGTGGTTGTGGTTCACACAGCAGGTCAAGGAAGCCCTCAAAAATAATGATTGCGTGACGTTAAACCCTTGGGTGCCAGCAACCCGCTTGCCCAAACCAACCTGGAGCCCAAAGCCGCCAAATCCCCAAGAACGCGCGGTAGGCCTAAAGTGCAGCCGCAACGGCTTGTGTGAGCACAAACGGTACAAACTTCAGGAACAGTCGCAAATGCAACCAAGAGCAACGTTTTTCGGTATTTGCAGCGTGAGTTTCGTCGAAGAGTTGCTGAGTTGGCCTTTAGACAGCCTTTAGGAGGCAAGTTTGCTCCGTGATCGGCTCTTGGGTTGCCTCTGAGGCCCTCCGGTTCTCCTCCGGGTCCTCCGGTTCTCCTCCGGTTCTCCTCCGGTTCTCCTCCGGTTCTCCTCCGGTTCTCCTCCGGTTCTCCTCCGGGTTTCCTCCGGTTCCTCCGGTTCTCCTCCGGTTCTCCTCCGGTTCTCCTCCGGTTCTCCTCCGGTTCCTCCGGTTCTCCTCCGGGTTTCCTCTGCTTTGAGATTTGTTGAGATGAGTATGCCTTTGCAATTGCAAACACATTGCCTGGTAGGAGCAGTTTGTCTTGAATTCTGCGAAAATCACGCAGAATCTATTGAACTATGCGAATCCTATCCATTTCTGTGCATTTCCTTCCGAAGAAGCCGAAACAGCCAGAAACAGCGCACTTTAGAAGACTTGTTCAGTTTAGGGTTTGTGCGCACCAAACTGCCGTACATGGAGGGTTTTGGGCGCTACGGGCAAGTTGGGCTTCCGTAGTCTTGGGTCGGAGCCGAGTCGGAGCTGTTTGCTTACTTTCGGCGATCCTGGCACTTCCAGGGACTCTGGGGCTTCCGGGTTTGGTCGGGGCCGTTTGCTTACCTTTCGGCGATTGTGGGGCAGCCAGGTGGCTTTGGGTCAGCTTAATTTCGGCGACTGTTTCCGGGTGGTTTTGGGTCAGGGATATTTACTTGTGTCAGGGATATTTACTTGTTTCCATGTCAGTTCGTGTGCCCGGCAGATGAGCAAATGCTGTCCTTGCATGTGATGTGCACAGCCGACGCAGGTGGTACATGTATGGTTCCAAGGGGAACCGACGGCGGGCGAGCATGATTCAGCATGATTGCAGATTCCCAAGAATGAATCACAAGTAACAAGAATAGACCAGGCAGGGTCGCTAGCGAGCATGTGGTTTTCTAGAACAGCTGTGCCAGTGCGAGTTCTTGTGAGAGTTGAACCCGGTGGTGCGTCAGTGATCATTGGTAAAGTATTATAAAGTAATGGCAGACACCAAACCCTGTGCATGTTGGCTTTTCGCCCAAACACTACTCTGCGTATGCCCTGTAAGCCTTCTAGCTACTCTAGTTCCTCCCCATGGCAATGGCAGCCTTGGCCCGTGAGACCCCAGACAATCATGTGCGAGACTTCGCAGTGAGTTTGCTGAGCAAAGCCACAAGAAATGCAGAAAACCGTGATCGCCTGCAGTACTTCAAGGATGCAGGCCTAAAGGTTCAGAGCGTGTGCAGTGGCATTGACGCAGTTGGCGAGGCCTTGAGACTGCTTCAGTTGGCCATGCAAGAAAATGCGGGGCACGCAGAGGCCGCCGAGGAGACTGACGGCGACGACGGCGACTTGTGGGTCGTAAAGAGCTCCTGGTGTGACAGTGGCGCAGCCCAGCAGGCATTTTTGCTTGCTCGCGCAGATCAGATAGATGGTCACTTACGACCATGTCTTTTCCAATCTGTGGAAGACATGGTGGCCGACAGTGTGCGGGAAGAATTGGGGATGCTGACAACGCCTGCCTGTGCCAATCGTGAACAGAAGACAGCAGCTGCAGCTTGGTATCAGCAGCTCGGCATCTCGTTGACAGAGAAAGGTCCATTGGCATTTCCAGCGGAGCATCAAGCATTTTGCTTGGTGCACAAGCAGCAGTGTCAGGTTAGGCAGTCCAGATGCATGCCGGCCGGCATGCTGAAGACGAACCCCGTGCTCATGAATTGCGCAGGACTGCCCTGCGTTGCATACAGCAAAGTAGGGCTGCGGCGGCAAGCCGCGGATCCTTCGGAGATGGCCGTCCAGGTGTATCTCAGTGAGCGACAGCAGTGTCTGGAAGATTTCTTCCTTTTCGAGAATGTGAGTTTGTTCCCCTACGAGAAGATCGAGCAGAAGTTGCGGCACACTCACCACCTGGTGCCTCTGACCTTCGGACCCAAGGACTGTCCTGCTGCTGTGTTGCTGCATTTCACTCATTGAAGTCTATGTTCTGTGCAGACAGTGACAGTGCAGGTTCAATTCCATGCTGTCGCATGAGCAGATTCCGTGTTCGTGCGATTCGCGTGTGTGTATGCTTTATACTATGCTTGTGTGAGTGTTTGTGTGTCACTGCATGCAAAATACATCAGACTGTCAAAGAATGGCTGCCCTTGCGTACGATTCGAACCTGCCACAAGGCCATGAGGACACATATCAGTGACTGTCAGTGACTCAAACCTTTGGTGACTTTGGTGACTTTTGGTGCACTTTCCACGGAGCCACGGAGCCAGCAAGGCTCTTGTTTGCTTGGGTCATGTGGATTGTATCTTAACGAAATCCTGATTTCCAACCCACCGAAATCCAGAGCCTCAAGATGGGGTTGGAATTTCACCAAATCCGTGAACGAAACCCTGATCAAGGGGTGGTTGGCAGTGGTTGGAATTTCACCAAATCCGTTAACGAAATCCTGATTTCCAACAAACGAAATCCAGAGCCTCAAGAGGGGGTTGGAATTTCACGAAAGCCGCTGTCCATTTACACTGTTTCAACCAATAATATATGCGACGCGATGATTACCCCATCATGAAATGTAGTCTCTGGCAGAGACTACATTTCATGATAGTCTCTGGTCCGTGGCACCCCTGGGCCCTGGGTGGGATTGGCGGGCTGGCATGCTGGAAATCATGTGAACAATGAGCTGTGCAAGTGTTTATGCATACTGCACATACCTCGTCACATAACTACTTGAAAACCAAGATGACACTGTTATGACATACCTGATTCATCGTGCAGTTTTTCTTGGACAAGATCCAGCGTGAGCCACCGTGCCTCGTGCGAGCACTGCCATCCTTGGAACCATGGACGGCGACTCTCCAGCTCAGCAGAGCCGTCAGGCATCCACTCAGATCGAGAGTGGCGGTGGCAGTGGAAGTGCTACGGTGGCCCAGCGACCGCCGACCGTGGCCCAGGCCAAGGGCAAGGCCGCCGCAGCAAAAGTGCCAAGGATGTGTGCTGCTGAGGATTGCCCCAATGAAGCTTGCAGAAATCAGCGTTGGTGCCAAGATCACCGGCGGGCTCATGCAGCCATGGTTATCAATGCAAGGAAGCAGGGGCAGGAGGACGAGCTGAAAGAAGTCATGTCATGTGAGATTCGAAGCAAAGTGGCGATGCGTGATTGGTGCGAGAAGAACCCAGTGGATGGGAAATGGTCTCGCAAGAGAACTCACGACTTCGCGCAGTACCAGCACGTCGAAGGCACCTTGGATGAGCATGGCGACAATGACCAAGATTGGCCGATGACGGAAGCCGAGTTTCTGCATTGGGCCACGGACACCAAGCGACTAACCAGCACCGGGGCCTCCAACTGGTGGAAGGAGTTGCTGGTGTCTTGCAAGAAGGACTTCAAGGGCAGAGAGCCCCATGGGGCTCTGGGAGCTCAGCGCCTTTGGGTGCCGGCAGCGGAGTTTAGTCAGCGCAAGAGAGCCCGCTTCAATCAGTCGCAGGTTGTGGAGAACAGCCGCCCAATGAGGAGACTGGCCGAGGATGACCTGGATGATCTCAGGGCTTTTGCTGCTTCCAGAACAGCTGATGAGAGCTTTCTACGTGGAGAGCCACGGCGAGTGGCTCCTCGCGTTTCGCAGCCGCAGACGCCGACGGGGGCGGGGCTGCCATCCACTGCTGCTGCTGGCACTTCGCCAGCCGGGGCCGAGGCAAACACGAGCCCGCAGAAGGAGAAGGCTGTGGACTTGGCCCTCGAGAAGCCCAAGCTTATCAACAAGCAGAAAGCCGAGCTTCGAGGGTTGGAAACTGGTTTGCGAGAGGCAGCCCGGAAAGGCATGGAGCAATGGACCGCCTGCAGCAAGGACTCGGACTCCACATCCGATCCGTCTTTGCAGGCATTGATGCCTCACCTGGAGTTCCGGTTGCGTTGCTCGGCAGCTGTGTTTGAGTACAAGGACGTTGACTTCCTTCAGGATGTTTCCTTCGCAAAAGACAAGGACAGCGTTGAGGACCTCCTGAAGAACAACCCGGAGATGCTGCCGGTTCAGGAGGAGCACGTGAAGCACCTCCAGTCTTTCTCAGGACTCCAAGACGGCATCGACAAGGTCGTGGCAGCGGCCACAACCGTGGCACAGCTGGAGGAAGCCAAGGAGGCATGGGGTGCCAAGAAGCTTGCTCTGAAGTCTTTGGAGAAGGGTGTCAACCAGGCCACCAAGGACGCCAAGTCCCGAAAGGCCCAGCAGCAGAAGGAAGCGCAACGCAAAGCCCAGGCAGAGCAAAAGAAAAAGGATCGCGAGCAAGTGGATGCTTTCAAGGAGCAGAGCGACCAACGTGCGAAGGCGTTGTTGGCAGAGAAGAAGGGTGGCATCAGCAAGAAGGGCTATGTGGCTTGCCAGTTCATGTTCGACAAGATGTCGCAGAATGCTTTGCCAGACGGCTTCAGCCTCCAGTCCTTCACGGAAGTCGAGGTTGGGAAGCTGCCCAGCATGTCTGGGCCTTGGGTGCTGAGAGGTGCCGCTGCTGTGGCTGTGGACAAGTGGTCTACGAATACCATCGTTACCAAGACAACGCAAGCCTACGCAGTGAAGTATAAGGCCTTCCCCGACTACCTCAACCGTGGCAGAGTCTCGGCTGCTTTCGAGGCCAAGCATGGGCACGAGAACACGGTCGACATGTTCTCCGGCATGGTCCCCCACGTGAAGAACATGCAGGCCTTCCCTGCGAGCCAAACCTTTCAGAACACAACCTGGCTCGCAGGATACTCCCCCGAGATGCGGTTCGTTGGTTTGCAAGCCAATGGCGCTTTGACATTGAAAACCATGGCAATGGGTCAGGTCCTACATGTGTGTCTCTCCTGCACGGATGTGGTCAAGGGGCTCATGGAGCTTGGCATGCTGAAGCCTGATTCAAAGTTTGCCGATGTCGATGGCTTTTGCAGCCTGCTGGAGGACTTGGACATGGATGCCTTCGTGAAGATGCATAAGGCCGGCGTCAAGCTGTACATGCACAAGGCCATCCCCGGAGAGGTCATCGGCATTCCAATGGGATGGTTTTGCTTCGAGCTTGCTGTTGACGGTGCCGTGCTTGTTGCTGCCCGTCAAGGCTTCTTCATTGTCGACACGTCGGAGGAGGACCTGAATCAGTACAAGTCCATGCGAGACATCTTGATCATGTGTGGCAAGGCCGGCGACAAGTACAACCAGATCATTGACATGCTTTCTCAGAAAGGAGGTGACGGCAACGGTCAGTGAACGTGAAGGTTGACGTGATTGCCGGGGCCGGTGGCGCTGGTGGCCTAGGGCTGGCAATCTAAGTCCTGATGGCATCGTGAGTCATGGGTGATGATGCCATAATTTTCCTAGGGATGCGATTTGGCAACCAGCAGCTTGAGTGCAGTACAGGTGTTGCGTTGAGTGTATGTTGTACGTAACAGGCATGAAGTGACAGTCCGAGCGTTGGCCGACTGTTACATGAGTATAGTATAGATTGACAAGTTTGTTTGTTTATCTGGTTGATTGAAGCAATGCTTGGTGCAGGGCATGTAGATCAGTCACATGTGAGCTGTTGTCACACGAATAGACATCACCTGCCAGCACTCGTGCGTTCTGCGTGTGGGCTTGCTGCTCGCAGTCTGAACTGTGCCAAAATCAAGATTTGGCTTGGGATTATCGAAGCCTGCACGGCTGCACGGGCGAACCTGTGTGGCGGTGCTGTGCGGGCGGCTTTCAAGAGCGACGTTTTGTGGCTGAAGTGCTACATTCAGTGCTGAACAAACAAGAAACAAGCTGAGTGGCTCAGTTCACTGGGGCTCTCAGTCAATGCAACGCTCAGTGTGCCCGTGCCCAGTGTGCCAGTGTGCCAGTGAGTCACTGAGTCCATCGAGTGCAAGAGAGAGTCAGGTAGAGCCAGGGCCAGTCAGGGCCCCAGGGCCCCAGGTCCGAGTCCCAGGGCGAGGGTGAGAGTGAGAGTGCAGGTGAGGGCCGGTGAGGGTGACAGCGAGGGAGTTTGCGACATGCGGGAGTTGAAACCTTGTGACGTGTGAGTAGTGCAAGTGATGCGACATGCGACGGTCTGTGTGTGAGAGGGAGAGTGAGACATAGAGAGGGAGAGAGAGAGAGAGAGAGAGAGAGAGAGAGAGAGAGAGAGAGAGAGACAGAGAGAGTCAGTGCGAAAGTGTGAGTGACAGTGACAATGAAAGCAGAGTGAGAGCAGCATTGGATTGGGATGTGTTGCCTGGGGCAGGACCTGGGCTTTCCGTGCAACAGACCTCGGCTGTATGTGCTTGGCATCGCGAAAGACAAAATGGTTTGGATCCCACCGCCAAGCGGAGATGACGAAGCTCAGCGATTCTTCGGAATGTTTGGAGCCGAGACCACCTCCTACGGCGACTGCTATATGACGGATTCGTGGTCGTCTAGGCGCTCCCAGCTATCAGACCGCATGAGGTTGCGTCAGCTTCACTTGGGTGCAGGAGCACTGCTGCAGGAACCGGCAACCAGGGCGGAACGATTCCAGTGCTTGTGCAATGCAGCCAACCCGAGCAACACCGCTGCTGCAACGGCATATGAGCAGATCCGCCAGAAACGACCGTGCACGGAGATGGACTTGCCCTTCTTTTGTGATTGGGAGCAGAACCCGGCCGCTGGAAAATGCACTCCGTCGCCCTTCGTGCCCTGCTTGTTGACGCATGGCAACCTGGTGGAGCACACATCCGCCCGAGCTTTGACTGATGCTGAGCTCCTCAATGTACATGGTTGGGGAACTCTCAGGAACGACCGCTACAGCTCCGACATCATGCAGGTCGTCGCCTCACTATCCTCTTCGTCGGCAACGATTTCGAGAACTATGAAGACGTTTGTGGGCAATTCGATGCACATTCCGAGTGCGCTTGCTGTCCTACTGTATGGCTTCACAAACATGTTGCGGTTGAGTGACGTGAACTCCAGGGCATGGCTGATCACCCGCCGATCTGCCTCGTGGAGCAATGAGATCGGGGCCGCTTCTCCAGGCCGGCGTGCTGCTGCTGCTTTGTGTGATGCTTCGGCTGAGTCTTCGATGTCGGCCAGCCCAAAGAGAAAGAGCAAAGGCAAAGGCCGTGGAAAAAAGCGGCAGGCAGAGGACATGGCTGATGATGCGGCCGACGATGTTGCATTTCGAAGAGCTGCGAGTACGATTTTCGACTGATGGGTAAAGCGGTAAATCTTGCGGCCGTGCTTTTTCCAGCTCGAGGCATTCCAACAACGGCAGTGTGGCAGTTTGTACAGCAAATCCCATGGGGAACAGACTCAGTGGCTGTTGATGAGTGTGCAAAACATCCATTCCGAACAAGCTTTCTGTGAGGTTCGTCAGTTCGTGCAGCCATATTGTCGGGTAGTGTCAGGTCAGCATCCAGGTTTCTTTCAAATCATTTCTTTCCGTCGCGTTCGTCTTTCTATAATTTCTCTCCTGGTATGGGGTATCCAGACCTCAGTTTTCCCAATGTCATCTCCCCCGAAAACTTCCTTCCTTTTTTTCTCCTCGTGCACCCCTTTTCACCCTTCGTTGGTCGTGAGCTGCGGCTCGGGAAGGAGGTGGTGGGTTGTTTTGTTTTGGGTGCCCTTCGTGCGAAAACGTGCTCTCGTGCTTCGTTTCTCTTACTTCTCGCCCCCCAATTTTGAACACACAAACACTCAACACATACGAGTGTTGACTAGAGGGCACAGAGGTTGCAGTGCAGCTTCTGCCGCACGTTCAGGCCCTCATGAGCATTACCCCCCAACATTCCCTAAACCCTAAACCCTACCTTCAGCCCGAGCCCGAAACCCTAAAATTCCCCCAAGGCTCAAACTGAGGCTCAGATACCGGCTCAAACCTTGAAACTAACCATATATTGGGCTGTCAACTGGGGTGTCGCCAGCAGACCTGGGGAGTCACAGCAACAACGCGCAAAGCGTTAACTTACTAGCCGAGAGAGAGAGGGAGAGAGCACGAGCAAAAGCACTGACTCTTGGGGTCTGTTTAGCAATGTTTTGTCCTGTATGGAGCCTACTGAACTTGACTCATGTGATTGATAGAACTGTTTTGAATTCCATAACCTGGTTTGGCAAGTCGGCCGGGCAGAAAACTAACACAAATGGTTTGAATTCTGTTCTGTCATTGCATTGGCATAAACTAACGAAGCTGATTGACGTCTGTGGAAAACCGTGTTCCATTCGCATGTCGTTCTGGATTTCCTGTGTTCTTTCTCATGTTTTTGTGAATTCTCTTACTAAATTAAACTCATGTGAAAATATTTGCAGCGGCCCAACGATCTAATTGGTTCAACTGTCAAAGTTGACCTGATGTCTAATTGTTGAATCGAACAGATTAATCAACTGAATTCATTAATTAACTGATTGACTTGGTTGGAAATCTCCAAACTCCAAAAATGCGAAGCCTAAAAGGCCGGGTTCCTACCTACGGCTGCCTACTGGGCTCAAGGCAGGCACGCCTCTTTTCGGAACCTCAAAAGGGCTGCGGTGCGCAGTGGTTGAAGCGAAAACTGTACAAGCAAAACACAAGGGGTAGCCTAGCTCAAGCCCTTGGGTGTTGGGCTTAGGGATTCCTACGTGATTTCTCGCACCCCCCTCCAATGCCGAGGGCTTGGGCGGAGAGTCCCGCTCGGGCGGTCCCTTCCCCCGCTGCTTTAGCCGTCACGCACGAAGTGATGGCCTCTGCAGTGGTTGCAGACTGGAAGCTGCCGGGCCCACCCGCGTATCTCCGTACACTGTCGAAACACGTGTGGCGTGTAGTCGTCCCCGACCACAAGAAAGTGGGTGAGATCCTCCCACCTGTGGCCTATGATCATTCCACCCCAACAGGTGAAACAAAGATTTTCGGTGGTGATCCGGTTTTGGGGTACCGAAGCTAACCCGACACAGTTCCTGTGGAGGTGAACTGTGCGCCTGGTCGGAGCGTAGTAGAGCTCCCCGAACTGGTGCTGCGGCATCGGCGGTAGGCGCGCTCCAGGTTGGAGTCGGCGGCGCCTTGCCCGCACTACCCCAGTGACTTGGGGTGCCGCTGGTGGCGGCGGGGCTGCCGCCTCGGCGGCTGCACCCGCATCCCCATCGTGAGGCTCTGGTTCCGGAGCCGGGGGTCTTGGGTCTCTCGGCGGAGCCGCCCGCGCCGGAGCGCGGAAGAGGTCCTCAACTGCTACTGCTACTGGTGGCGTGGCCACCTCCTCCGGGACTTCTTCTCCCCCGGGTTCTTCAGGTAGCTCTTCCTCGGGCTCTTCTGTGGGCTCCGAGGGTTCCTCTTCTGGCTGCCGGCCCGTCGGCTGCCTTAGCCGTTGCAGCGTTCTGCTGCACCGCCCGGTCTACCGTCGGCTTGAAAGGGAGAACCGGCTTCCACTGACTAGGCGGGTTTTCCCGCACAAGCTTCACCGAATGCCGCTCCGCGGCGGAAGCTCCCGCAACCAAGGTGGGATCCACCATGGCAAGGGATGGCAAAGCCTGTGCAACCTCGTTGCCTGTCTTGGCGTGCTTCGTGAGGAAGTTCGCCGGGTTCTCTGTGCCTTTCACTTTCCTCAGCAAGGCCTTTCCGGCTTGGGTGGCCCCTTGAACATAGAATTCGGACACATCAAGGTGTTTCAGTTTCGTTCCCGGGCCAATCCGCTTAGCTGCCGTGATCCCGGTGCTGCTGTCGCTCCAGATCCTTGGGATTTCCACCTCCAGCCCAAAGTCTAGCGTCGCTAGTTCGTGGACGAAGAGGGCTTCCCGGCAGGCGCGGCTGATGCCGCGTAGCGACTGGGCAGGCTGCGTGGAGACCCGGCGGTCTACAGTCTACAGACTGCCATGTTGTAGTGCTTGGTGGGGCGGTGGTGACCACAGCCACCCAGACCCAGCCAGGACTGCCAGCGACCAGCAGCCCAGACGCTCCGGGATCCAAGGCCGTCACCCTCACCAAGGAGGGGTGCTGCTGCAGGTACCTTCCAAGCATCTGGGCTTGGTTCATGTCACAGCGCCTCGGCGCAGACATGTGGCGGGCGAGTTCCTTAACGGCGTATTGGATATCTCGCCTGTCGGCTGAGCTTGCGGTCAACGGGTTGATAGCGCTTTAATTTTCGTGGTTGTTTTGTAAAACTAGGTTAGTTTTACTTCTTCCGATTGAGTTGGAAAGAAAATTTGCAAAGTGATTTTCTCTTGCAAGCTTTGAACACTTCTTGTGTGTAGCCGAGCATGTGATTACTTGTGTGCACCGCCGCGAGGTCATGCTCAAGGGAGCAAGTGAAAGCAGCATGCAACATGAATTTTGTCTGGACACATATCTTCAGCATCACATTTCTACACTTAGTCTTCTGTAGGACAACACATCGGCTTCGTGCCTCATGAGTGACTCCACCTCCGTGGGTCCCAGCGCCGTGCTTTCAGAGGACCTCCGCGTGCTGCGGGAGGACTTGCAGGATCAGATCGCTGCGTTGCAATTCAGGGTCACAGTTTTGGAGTACCGCTTGCGCCCAAGTCCTCTGCAGTCTCCATCAGCCAGCTCAGTCGGTGCCAGCACAGCTACTTCCACTTTGGTTCTTCTTGATCTCGGGGATATCACATTTACCCCACGGCCCTGCGCAGTGCTGCTTAATTTTCTGTCATTTCGAGCGCGCGGAGCCCTTCTGCAAACAGCTGCCTTCGTGCTAGATCCAGCCCGCACATCGTTTTACCGTATTGCCCTCCGTGATCCTGCCCTGCAATATCGTCATGTCTGACTCAGCAACAGGTGCGCTCCCGCGCCTGCTTCCAGCTGCGCCCGAGGCGGCTCACTCGGTGCCTGATGCTACGGGCCATGTTTCGGATAATCAGGGGGTTGCGGTTCTGCCTTCGGACCATCTTGCGCCAGAAGTTGAGATCTTGACACCTCTGCCTGCAGACCAACTTGCGGCAGGGGTAGCAGACCCTTCAGAACAGCTTGAGACGTCGAACGAGCAGCCGCTCGGTGGTGTAGACAGTGGAGAAAACCCAGAGCCCCGACCCGAGTTTCCACCACTCCCCCCTTCGGTTCCTAGTGGTGTAGACCTTCAACTTTCTTGTGGTTTAGGCCTGGCGGGCACTTCCGAGCCCGAAAATGTGGATCCCTCACCAGACTTGGAACCGGAAGGCTGGGAAGAACGAGAAAGTTGTGACCCTTCGGCAGAATGGCAGCATTATAAGGAAGTAGCTGAAACCGAGGCAGGGCTTTTGAGTGAGTTCGATAAACACTTAGAGCAGCTAGCTGCAGGATCCAGCTCCTCTTGGCGACCGGTAGGATCAGATGCAAGCTTGATCACACCTCCTGTAGCCGGGGTTTTCACTACCAGCCCTCAGGAGCCCATGATAGCACCGCTTGTTGATGTGGCTGCCGTGGTGTCGACCGAGTTGGTCTCGAATCCGTCACTGAGCAAACTGAAGTTTCCGTGGGAGCGCGGCCCCATGCGTGCCGTCTTCAGTGAATCCTTGCCATCACTGCCAACGGTACCTAAGATGCCCTTGATTGCCAAAAGGCTCCTTGTGCCCCAGGAGCCAACCCATCAAGAAACGACCCACGTAGCTGTGAGCGCCAAGGTGTATCTTCAAGGTAAACCGATTTTCGCAGTGGCCATCAAAGCCACTAAGAACCTATCCTTCCGCGAGAGGCGTGCTGAGGTCTTGGAAGTTAGTTTAGGTAAGTTGGTTGCGTGCCTCCGGCTTGTGCCCCAGAACTTGGTTCCTTGCACGCTGCAGCTCAGCGGGAAAGTTGATCCAGAATCGGTGACGGCTGCTGTCGGCACTCGCTCCCCTTGGACGATAGACAAGCGTGCGAATGCCTTCAACACATTCCTCAGATGGTACCTTAACGGCCCTGCATCAGAGTCAGACTGTTTGTCAGAAGCGTCGCTGTGGGCATATATGACCGACCTCAAAAGGGCAGGTGCAGCGGCCTCGAAAGGGGCTGGGATCCTCAGTGCAATGCGCTTCCTTCACCATGTGCTTGGCTTCCACTTGGACGATGTCTTGCAGAGCCGGCGGGTGTGTGGAATTGCGGAACAAATGTCTGTTGGGGTCCATTGGTTGCGTCAAGCTGAAGCCTTGACAGTGGGCGAAACATGCCGATTGCACACCATGGTGGAAGACCGGGGAGCCCACAGCTTCGATAGAGCCATGGCAGCCAGATGTCTCTTTGCGCTCTATGGGCGTTGTAGAAACAGCGACCTTTCGGACATCCAGTGGATTGAGCATGAGTTCAGCGAGTCTTCTGGGTATGTGGTCTTGTATCTGGGGATGCATAAGACGAACAATGTCACTGCACGTTCGAAGAAGCTTCTTCCAGTCTTGATCCCAGCGATAGGCGTCACTGGCACCCAATGGGTGTCTTCGGCGCTGGACGCCCTCAGCGCTGTGGGCATGGAGGTCCAGGGCAAAGTTGAGGGCCCGCTTCTGAGGGCCCCCATATCTGCAGATGGTGAAATGCTGTCTAAGCGTGAGATCAGGGCATCGGAGATCACGTCATTCTTGAGGATCGCATTGGGCCCGGTGTGTGATGAAGAGCGCCTGAAGCGCATCTCTTCACATTCGCTCAAGCGCACTCCTCTAGCCTGGTGCTCCAAGTTCGGGACAAGCGAACCAGTAAGATCAGTTTTGGGCAGGCATGCATCTGCCACGATCGGATCGCAGGCTATTTATGCCGTTGACTTAGCTACTTCGGCAGTGAAAGAGTTTGAGCAAGTTCTTCGAGACATCTCATCAGGACGTTTCAAACCAGACAACCCGCGGGCAGAATATTTCGTCGCTCCTCCCGAGCCGTCCCAGGATGCAATTAAGTCAGAGCCAGACGCTTGTGACGGGATGCCGAGTCAAGGCGAGATTGTGGACGTCAGTTCGGATTCCAGCTCCTCATCCGACAGCGAGAGTGCTGAGAGTTCGGGATCATCGTCCGAGGATGAGCAGCCCGCTCAGAAGGTTCAGAAGCAGGACTGGCCGTGGGGCTTGAAAGACTCACTTGTGCATGTGAAGTCCAAGAAATGCCATTATGTGGTTGCGCGGTCTGGGGGAGGAAATGCCATTTTGGCATGTGGGAAAGTTGGGACCTCCAATTATGTCGTCCCAAAAAGTTTTGGGCAAATCAGTGGCACGTGCCACAACTGTAGAAGGGTCGCTGCCGGCCTTTAGAGGCTAGTCCGAGGGGACAAGTGCGAGGGCACCAAAAGAGAGCAGCTCGCGGTACTTTTGCCGTGAAGTCGGAATGAGTGCGCATTATGTGCTGAGGGCTTGCGAGTGTTAGTGAGCGCAGCCTAGGAGTGCATGAGAGTGTCATTGCTCCCGCGCAGTCCGGCTGAGAGTCTTGACATGTTGAGCGTCATGTGAATTTAGCACAACATAGCATGCTACATCCGGTACAAACTAGGAACATTACAGCTTGAGTCTCTCGTCCAATTTTTGCAATGACCGCCATTCTTGACTCTGAGGCTCACTTTCATCGACGATGCAAGGAGATCAACTTGAGTCAGCCAACAGTGGGCAAGTTAGGGGGCCTGGGAGTTAAGACACTGGGGACCACAGCACATCTCATCGGGACGCCCGGTCAAGACCTGCCCGAAGAGGTTTTGAAGGAGTGGCTTGAGTCGAACCTCCCTGGTTTGTCTTTGGGAGATGTTGCTGCCTTTAAGCGCCTGTTGTTTGAATCGCAAACCCTGCAGCTAAGTGCACTCCGTCAGTCGATCCTGGATCCAGACAATACTACTAAGCAGAAGCTACCAGAGGCCGAGAAGTCCCAACGCTTGTCCATGTTTAAGGCTGCTAATCCTGGACTGCACATCGACTCAACCATGGAGCCTGGGCATTCATTGCTTGATCTGACTTGTGAACAGCACCGCGAAAATGTCTTCAAGCACATTCCGATTGAAAAGTGTGTCTCTCGCCAGCACGAGCTGTTAAATCACCATAAGCCGTCGAAAGTTCTTGAAGTGGAGGCAGGGAAAATCGCAGTGCGTGAGCATGCTGAAACTACAGATCAACCAGTTCACGGTGCATTGGCTCTGCTTGAAGGGTTCAAACGCAGGGGTTATGCTTACGTCATGGCTAATTGCGTCAGCCTTGGCGCGTATGAAGGCTACCTGGCTAAGCTTATGATGCACTTTCGCCGGCCTGCCCCAGCAAACCACCAGCGTGTCGGCATTGAGCAGCTGATTCAAGCAGACAGGGCCGTTTGGGTGCATATGCTTGAGGAGAACAGGCGACCCCGTGCCAATCCAGATGGAAGCTGCGACATGGACCGCGCACTTCATGTCGCTCTTGAATCATACACAGTGTCTTCCCTGCTGGTTCCCTTGCCAGCGGGCTTCAAGCGAAAGAATCCATCCACCGGTGATCATGCGAACAAGTGGCGTGGCCACGAGGGTGCCAAAGGGGGTAAAGGCTCAGGCAAGGGCAAACAACCGGGCAAGGGCAAAACAGGGAAGGGCAAGGGCGCGCCGGATGCCAGTAGCATTCCTATGCCCTTGGTTTTGCGACAGAAAGGAGCCAAGCCCATGACAAAGCAGGGGCAACGCATCTGCTTCGCGTTCAACCTGGAGGGATGCACGCATCCCAATTGCAGCAGGGCCCACGTGTGTGCCAAGTGCGAGGGTGCTCACCCGATCGGCCAATGTCCGGCTGCGGGTGGAGCTTGAACTAATCCTGTCACTTTCCATGATCCTGCTGAGCGCGTCCATGACTGTTCAGCCGCAACCACCTTGACAGGAGACCTCAGTGCACAACAGGATCAAGTGCATGCCACAGCTGAGGAGTTCGCAGCCGCTTGCCTCAGTAAGCCTAGAATTACTTCTGATGACATAATACAGCTCATAAGCTTGTTGCCTTCAGAAGCGCCGGCCAGATCCCACCCTGACATCACTCATCAATCCAGTTTTTCTTTCAGTGTCGGTGCCTATGTCCAAGGCCCCATGTTGGGGCTGCGCCGCACGTGTCATGAATTCCCGACGGTGTGTCGGATGCTAACCACCTATGCTAAGAGTTGGGGGCACGATTTGCCATTCACTTCCTTGGCCTTGATGGCTCAGGTGCTCACACCGCTGCACGCCGACCGAAATAATGCCAAAGATTTTCCGAATTTCTTGATTGGGGTCTCCACCTTCACTGAGGGCCAGTTGTGGCTCGAAGGCGCTTCAGGCGAGCATGCAGGGCCGCTGCCCCATGCGCACTTGTGCGGAGAGCTTTTACCGGTCTCTAATACATGTATCACATTCGATGCCCATCGACGGCATGCCACCATGCCTTGGAGCGGTTACCGGGTAGTTTTAGCCGGGTTTGTAGTCCGCGATTTCGCGGCCCTGTCCGAAGCTGATCATTCAGCGTTGGTCTCCCTAGGGTTTAGCCCCCCCGACCTAGCCACAGGTGACGTCATTCAGCAAGGAACCATGGTGCCAGTACCGCGTCCAATCTTCAAGGCACCAGCCACGCCCGTCGTGTTCGAGCTGTTCTCTGGCACTTCTCGTGTTACAGCCTGCCTCCGCCGCCTGGGAGTTACAGCCCACGGAATCGACCACAAACATGTTGAATCTGCGGCGTGTGCTCCCTTGATCGCAGACCTCACCACTCAGGATGGCCAGGATTTGGCCATGTTTTGGTTGTGCAATCCGCTGCTATCGGCTGTGGTAGCAGCCCCACCTTGTGGTACTTCCAGCCGTGCACGCGACATCCCAGTCTACGATGCTTCAGGCGTGCCAACTCCAAGCCCACCGCCTCTGCGCTCCTCCGAGTTTCCCGACGGTTTGCCAGACCTGCAGGGTTCAGATAAGCAACGGGTTGAGGCCGCCAATGTCTTGTATGCCTTCTTGGCCAAGGTTGCTCTGGAATGCCACCGTCGGGATGTGCTTTTCGTGTGCGAGAATCCGCACCGGTCGTGGTTCTGGGCCACCACGCCTTTCCAAGCCATAGCGCACCTGTGCCCTTTCCGCACCTCCTTCGACCACTGCATGTTCGGAGGCTCCCGCCCGAAACGGACGACCTTAGCGGCCACCCATGATGTCTTCTCATCGCTGCAGCGCTCTTGCCCAGGCCAGTCTCCGGAACATCACCATGAGCCCTGGGGCCTCACTCCCAACGGCTTCGCAACCAAAGCCGAGACAGCTTACCCGCCGCCTCTGGCGGCCGCCATCGCCCATTGTGTTGCAACTCATTTGGTGCATACTGGCTGGCAGCCATCCCAAACCTTGCCCAAGCCAGCTAGCTTGCTGTCTGCTTGCCGCGCCGCGTCTGGACCTCAGCCTGCTGCGGCTAAGTTTCCCGCTCTCGTGCCAGAGCATTGCACTGTACTGCTGGTTCGTGGCCCGAAAACGGCCCTCGATGCTGCTCCGTGCGCCCCCATGGGCCGCCTAGCACAACCGTGGGATCTGCCCGAGGCCTGTTCTGCTTCTGTGCGCCGCATTCCCGCCAATGCGCAACTTCTTCGAACTGTACCACTTTCGGTTAAAGAGGGGGTCGGCGATTCGGGGGTCAACGATTCTGCTGTGAATCTGAACTCTACTGAGCCTACTCTTGAACAGGCGTGGGGCGTGCCCTATTCCCCCGAGGCTTTTGTTCAGGCCGCATGCAAAGCGGGACACCCTAAACTGTTGAGGATTCCTCTGCCGCGGGCACTTCAGAAGGCTGTGGAAATCAACCGATCGTTGTCTTCTAAAGAATTACTTGAGTTCAGGGAAAGGTGGTTTGAGAAGTGGGAAGCCAGGGCAGCAGCCTTGGAGGAGAGTGAGGAGGCACTCAAAGCCGAGATGCCAGACCACCTAAGGGCCATCTTAGGGTCTAAGAAAATCCTCTTGTGGAAAGAGCTTCTGCAGGACATCGGCTACGAGGACATGGAAGTTGTCGAAGAAATGATCAACGGCACAGACTTGGTGGGTCAGGTGCCACTTACAGGATTGTTTCCCCAAGTGTTCAAGCCTGCTGCGGCATCACCGCAAGAGGTCCACCGCAAAGCATCGCAATCCAGGAAGCACGTCTTGGAGTCGGTGCGATCCCAAGGCGAGCTAGACCGGGAGGTGAAACGCAAAACAGCCGAAGAGCATGACAAGGGTTGGTTAGAAGGGCCGATCAATCCTAGCGACTTGGAGGATGAGGCCTTAGTCAGTAGAAGGTTTGGGTTATCGCAAGGTTCCGGCGAATCTCAAAAGGTGCGACTCATAGATGACTTGTCTGGGAGCTCCGTGAATGCAGCCGTGCAGGCGTGCGAATCGCCGCAACCGCACACGACAGACGTGCTGGCATGCTTGATGCTGCAATGTTTGGAATCCTTCCCTAGGGATAACCTTAAAGGCCGAAGTTATGACCTTAAGTCCGCTTACCGCCAGCTTGGCCTAAGTAAGGATGCCCTAAAGGATGCATACGTAGCTTTCCATGATGAGCAGTCAGGTCGACCTTCAGTGCATCGCCTTAAAGCTTTACCCTTCGGAGCGGTGAGAAGTGTGCACTCCTTTCTCAGGACCGTGCATTCAGTCTGGACGCTCGGGTGCCACCTGGGCTTCTTATGGACGTGCTACTTCGACGACTTCCCCACGCTAGCAAGACAATCGGATTGCGCCTTCACTGCCGATCACATTCCCCGTTTCTTTAGACTCTTAGGGTGGCAGTTCGCAGAGGAGGGGAAGAAGGCACAGGAGTTTGGCAGCACGTTCGAATCATTAGGGGTGAGGTTTAACTTGGAACATTTCAGCAGCGGGCGTGTGGAGGTTGGGAACACTGACTGCAGGGTGCAAGAACTCCTGACTGCACTTACCCATGCAGTTGAAAGCGAGGAGCTGCGCAACAAAGATGCACAGCGGCTCAGGGGTCGGCTACAATTTGCCGACGGCCAAGTTTTTGGCCGTGCCAGCAAGCTCTGCCTCAAGGAGTTGGATGCACATATCGCGTTGGGCCAAGCGGAACTTGGACAGGACGCTCTTGTTGCCTTGAATCGATATGCACTGCTTCTCAGGGACTCAAAGCCACGTGTGCTGGCGAGGCCAGCCCACACCCCGCGATACATCTTCACCGACGCCGCTTACGAGGCAGGCGCTCAGGGCCCCAAGTGCGGCATAGGCGGCGTGCTTTATGATCATGAGGGCGAGATGCTGAGTTTCTTCTCGTATGAACTGGACCGGAAACAAATGGAGAAGCTTGGCAGCGCCACGAAGAAAACCATCATCTTCGAGGCGGAACTTGTAGCGTACATTGCTGCAATAGTGCTTTGGCGCAAGCGCGTCACGCATCATGCATTAGTTGCCTACGTGGGTAACAATAGCGCTCGAGACGTGTGCATTTCGGGGAGGGCAAGAAACGACACAGGCAAGATGCTCATCGAGTTACTCCTCTCGGTGGAAGACATGGCAGGGCTAAACACTTGGATATCCCGTGTTCCGAGTCCTTCGAATCCCTCTGACATTTTGTCTAGAAAGCTAGTTAAAGTCTTGAAGGGAAAGGCAGGGATTATCAAGGCGACTCCGGTTGCAAAAACGCTTGATGACATTCTTGCTTAGGACCGCGGTTAATTAGGGGTGACTATGCCTGCCGTAGCTTGTGTGCGTGTGGACTGCTGAGTCCCCGCTGCCTAACCTCGCTTGCACATACGACATGTCTCAATCGCAGCCGCGGTTGAGCATGTCGGTACCGGAGTCTTGCCCGATGTCACCAGTGAAAATGAAGACAGTGCGAGTGTGGCTTCCTGAAGGAATTTATGCAATACATATATGTATATCGGTTCGCTGCAAATAGATTCACGAATCATTTTATTTTAGCGCTGCCGTTTCTGCTCAATCGGAAGAACAACTGAGTAAATTAAGCTAGCGGTCAACGGGTTGATAGCGCTTTAATTTTCGTGGTTGTTTTGTAAAACTAGGTTAGTTTTACTTCTTCCGATTGAGTTGGAAAGAAAATTTGCAAAGTGATTTTCTCTTGCAAGCTTTGAACACTTCTTGTGTGTAGCCGAGCATGTGATTACTTGTGTGCACCGCCGCGAGGTCATGCTCAAGGGAGCAAGTGAAAGCAGCATGCAACATGGGCATGGGCAGAAATTTTTGTCCCGCCCGCCCGCCCAGTGATAATGACGCAAACCCTTGTTACACTGCTTCTTGGGCCGCTGGTTGTCTCCAGCTTGTCGACTTGAGAATCTGCCCCTGCTTGATTCCTCTTGCCTTGGGCCTCTCAGGCTGTGTCTCCACCGCAATGCTCCACCGTGGGCATCTGGACTGTCTAGTCCCTTGAGGGGTGACTTTGCCTGCCGTAGCTTATGTGCGTGTGGACTGCTGAGTCCCCAATGGTTGAGCATGGGGTGACTATGCCTGCCGTAGCTTGTGTGCGTGTGGACTGCTGAGTCCCCGATGCCTAACCTCGCTTGCACATACGACATGTCTCAATCGCAGCCGCGGTTGAGCATGTCGGTACCGAAGTCTTGCCCGATGTCACCAGTGAAAATGAAGACAGTGCGAGTGTGGCTTCCTGAAGGAATTTATGCAATACATATATGTATATCGGTTCGCTGCAAATAGATTCACGAATCATTTTATTTTAGCGCTGCCGTTTCTGCTCAATCGGAAGAACAACTGAGTAAATTAAGAGGTAAATCCCCGAGCCGACTGCCGATCGGTACCTGGCGGCGTCTCCCGCTTCGAGGGGAGTGGTGTCACTCAGGTCGGGTTTCCTGGAGGGAACCGGTGATTTCTCACCTGGCTTCAGGCCCAAGGCCTTGATGATATTCTCCGCGTGCTTCGGGTCCGGAGCCGTGAGGATGCACCCATGCAGTCGGGTCTTGGTCTTGCCTAGAACCTCGACTGACACACCTTCGCCCTCAAGGGGTCCGGTGGTGATCTCGCAGTGGGCACAGAGATCCTCATCTAGCAACCTATCTAGGGCGGCGGCGTCGCCCGCACACCTCCCATCATCGATATGGTGCACTATGACGATGCCCGTCTTGAGGCATCTGTAGACGCATCCATGGGTCCTACCCCACACCTAAAGTCGTAGCGTCCGGTTTCCTTGACCTTCACGCATAGAAGCTCTTCAAGCTCGTCTCGGTAAACCGAGCCTGCGGTCCTCCTGCCATAGAGGTTGCCATCCAGTCGGAAGAGCATCTGGTCGAAGCTCTCCCAGAGTTCGGGCTGTTGCGCGGGCGGTTGTGCCCGCACCCACTCTTCCCAGATGGGCCTCCATTCTGGCGGGGGTCGCACGTAGACCCACTTCTCCTGTTGAGCCCCGCGGTCCTGCCAGGAGTCCTGCCCAGTGAGAAAAGCCGCGACGCAACGCCGTGATCTCAAGCAGGGCGTGGGCTTCAGGAGTTGGAGTAGGAACAAAGACTCGCAGGTCCTGCTCCTGTTCCTCCGTGTAGGCCCTCTTCACGTCAGCACAGGTGAACCGCGACTTCACCGTGCCCTCCTTCACCTTGTCGACCCACTTGTAGTGGAACACCTGCGCGTCAGCAGGCTTCTGCCGTCTGTGGCGCTCTTGGACTGCTTGGGATGCCTGGCACTCTCTGTGCTTCCTGTGCCTTCCCTCTTGCTTCCTTTCACCCAGGTAAGGTGCTGCTCGTGCAGCTGAGGAGCTGGCCGCCGCACTGGCACCTCGTTGGCTGCCGCTTCCAGAGAGGGGGCTGGTAGTACCACAGGCTGTGCCACCATGGGCGGGGGCTCCCGCAGCACCCGACCCTGTCGAAGGGCCCAGGCACACTAGCAACGGTGAACGGTGCCCATCAGGGTCCTGTTGGCCTGGCTTTGGGGGAAGGCGCCTCACCGATCGAACGGAGAGGGCGCCACTCTCGGTCAGGACAATGTGCGTATATTGTCTCTGTCTAGCTTGCCTACCCAGATGCCTTTGACCCAATGTCGTTGCGACTTGGTTCCTGGCTTCGGAAGTTTGGCCATCACGGTTTCACCGAAGCGGCAAATCGTCGAGAGGTACTCGACCCCATTAACGATCTTATAGGCAACACCGTGTGGTTCACATCCACCATGCAGTTGGGGTACCGGTTCTGTAGGTCCATGAGCCAGGTGCGCACCAGCCCCGCCAGGTAGCTGTGCTCCCCTTCCACCGCGCCTTGGCTTTGGTGGGAGTAGGGCGGTGCTTCCCGCACCTTGATCTTCTGTGGACCCAACCGGGTTCTGATTGCGTGGGCCACGCTTCTCAAGGGACCCCTCTGCGTCAATCTGCAGGGTTACCCGCGAATGACCCAAGGTGTTCAGGTACTGCTCCACGGTGTCCAGAACGAAGTTCCCGCATTCGGCTCCTTTCTTAGGCACCTGCACACTGCAGGGCCACCCCGTGTCTTTGTCGACCAAGGTGAGCACCGTCACCAGGGTGGACTCGTCCTCGGGTGCCTGCTTCTGCTGATTACCGCCTCGAGTCCCCTTTCTCTCCGGACTCCGGGCAGCACGGCGCGAAGGGCAGGTGGGTCAGCTTGTGCCACTCCCGCTCTTCTGGCGTCGGGTCCAACGGCATGCTTTCCGCGCGGGCCTCCGGGTCCGGAGGCGGGTCGCCTTCCTCGATGTTTCCACCGGGGTCGGCCTGGAGGCTCCTTGGCGCTCCGCACGGGCGAAGTCGGCCACCGCCTGTGCCTCCGGGTCGTCCGGGTAGTTCTCTTCGTCCCCTACGGCGGCTATCCTCGCCTTCTTGCGGTTTCGCCCGCCGTCGGTGTAGGGCATGAGGAAGACAACTTTCAATCGTGATTGATTAGTCTTTATTCTTGCCCAAAAACCTTTTGAAAATTTTGGGTGCGAAAATTTTCTGTCTGCATGTCAATCGTTGTTTCGCCACACACTTTGTTCCCACGAAGCCTTCTTGGCTGAGGTGGGAGGTGGGAAACCCTAGCAACTTTCAAGGCCATATGGCTTGGTTTTGTTTTGTTTTGTTGCTAGGGGTGTGTGTGTTAAGAAACCAAGTCAGCCTGCGAATTGAGCCATGGCTGACTCTGGCAGATCAAAGTTCCCGCGGCTGGACGAGCCTACGAGCGACTTGGGGCGCTTGTATGAGCGGGCATTGAGTGAGGCAAGTGTGCAGCTTGCGGGTCAGGCTACCTTGAAGTTACCCTGGGAGAAGGGCATTTATGTCGAGATTTTCAGTGGTAGCGAGCTACCTAGGATGCCTACCTTACCTGTGCCTGCTACACTTCCAGTCGTAGATGTTGCAAGACCTGGGACCCAGCACAGCGAAGCCTTGAAGCAGACATCAGATCCTCTGCCAAAATTCGAGAGTGCAGTCTACAAGCACTGTCTGCATAAATCAACTATTGCTGCTGGCGGGAGACCCGGGACAGATCGAGATGCCGTCTACAGGCGCTGGCTTTGTATCTTGGGCCACAATCTTGCTGGCTCTAAGATTGGAGAGTACATTGCTGATGGTGCCGAAGACCCTCTTGTTTTGATTGCGGACACCTTTGGAGGGAAAAGTACGAGCACCTTGCTTAAGAGAGCCAGGTTTGTCGCCCGGATGCTTACGTGGGCGTCTGAGCATAGTCAGACGTTTTTTCCGCTGCGGCTTGGACCATTGCTTTCATTCATGCGCAGTTTGGCATCAGAGAGTGCCAAGGCCCAGTGTGGAGAGACAATCAATTTCCTTGTGCATGTCCTTGGTGTGCATGCCGATCTGGATATTTTGAAGCATCCTGTAATCCAAGGGCTTCTACGGGGGTCTCGGTCAACAGGGAAAGAGATCAAGCAGTCCAGGGTACTCACTGTCCGGGAAGTTATGGCGCTCGAAGATATGCTCAGTGATGCATCCCTTGATCCTGTTGATCGATATGGTGCAGGAATTTTTCTCTTCCAGATTTACAGCCGGGCACGAGTGTCCGACATCAGGAACATCCATCGCTTTGAGCTCGACCTGAGTGGAGATGACGGATACCTTGAGGCGAAAACGATGGACCACAAGAATGCGACCAGAGGACGTGGGCTGGGGCAGAGCTTGATTCTCGTTGCTCCGGTTCAGGGCCTGCGGGATAAGGCGTGGGGTATCCAGTTCATCGAGGTTGCAAAGATGGTTGGGTTCAACCTTCGACAGGGGCATCGTGACCTTTATTACCTAGACTTACTGCCGAGGGTCAGTGGTCAGGGGAGGCGATCGGGTCTGATGAGACTACATCGTGGCTCAACGGTCTGTTGAATCGCGCTATGAGTGAGCAGATTGCGTCAGGGCTAACATCCCATGGATTAAAGGCAACAACCCTTTCCTGGATGACGAAGGCCGGGTATCCCGAAAAGTCTTGCCTCATTTTGGGACATCACGCGAGAGCGGGGAAGAAAACTCTTTACACATACGGCAGAGACGTGCAAGCCAAACCATTACGTGAACTACAAGATTGCATTCGTCTCATCAAGCGTAATGTGTTTGCTCCGGACTCGACTCGAAGTGGCATGTTCAAATCAGGCGAGAGCAGTCATGAATCAAAGGCTGAGGTTACAGATCCTCTCATTCTCGCTGCTGAACAGTTCCGGTTTGGCGATCCTGATGAAATCATTGACACTGGAGGCGATGTCGGCAGTGAACACGAGCCCTTGCTCGAGGAAGGAAAGCCGGCTGACAATTGTGATGCTGAGCCTGAGCAGGATGCTGAGGATTCCGACTCGAGTACCTCTAGTTCTTCAGGTTCCTCTGATGACCATGCCGAAGCTTATGAGAGTTTCGCCAGTGATGCTGCCCTTGATTGTGCTGTGCCTCACTTAAACAAAGAGGTGGACTTGGATGTTTTCCAGAACCCCAAAACTCTTTCCCTCCATACCCGGGCGAAGGGTTCCGATGGCCCACTTATGTGTGGCCGCAAAGCTGAGGGAATGAAGATTTTTACAAGTAGGGTATACAGCAAGTTTTGGATGTGTAAGCAGTGTGAGCAGGCTCGACCGCTCAGGGACACGAAAGCTGTCGTTGCATACCTGAGCAAAGTTGCCAATCCCAAGAGTGCAGGACCTAGTGGTCTTCATTGAGGATGGCGAGGGCTATGGGCCAGCACAGCGCTTTGCGCGTGCACTCGCAGTTTTGGAGAACATGTGATGGGAAAATTACGCGAGGGCTCCGGGCCTGCATCGCACAGTGTGCCTGCGCTCGCGAACTTGTGCAAATCGGATTTGCGAAGGTTGGGCGAGGGCTTCGGGCCTGCACAGCACATTGTGCTTGCGCTCGCAGTTTACTATCGTCTACTTTGTGATGGGCTGGGCGAGGGCTTCGGGCCTGCACTGCACTTTGTGCCTGCACTCGCGAACTTGTGCAAACCGATGTGGTGGCTAAGAGTCTGCTTACGTCGTGTGGTGGCTACGGGCCTGCACGTCGTCCTGAGGACGAGTGCAACCACATGACAGGAATCCTTGACTGGCGTGAGTACCGAATTGAGCCCAAAAGGTGTGTGGAACGTGGTGATGACACGTTGGTCACCCATGTGTGATTACGACTTGTGGGCAGCAGCGAGCTGAATGAATAGAGCCGTCTTATGCGCAAAAGACCAGCAGTAGTGTGTCGGCATGGCGGTTCCACTGACAGAGTCCAAGGCCGTGTTCTTGGAAAGATGTGAGACGGCCGGATTGCCAACGCCGATTCGGGACATCTTGGTTGGCAAGAATCTCAGTACCTTGGCAGGTCTCGCATTCGCAGCGGGGCAGCCGGGGGAAACACCGAGTGATGCAGCGCTTACCGGCCTGGCGAGATCCGGCACGGAGGAAGTTCCAATAGCGACCCTAGCCTCCTTGAGGCGGTTGGTGTTCGAAGCGCAGCTCCTCATGACCGCGCAGGTGAAGATGCTGATCGAGCATCGTGCCGATGACCAAAAGGCGGAATTAGCGCCCGCAGAAAGATCGGAGCGAATCCAGAAGCAGAGCGAGCGCCTGGCCGGTGTTGCACTCCGCAACGAGTCAGAGTGCTCCTATGGGTCATACGATTTGGTCATGAAGATGGTCCAGGAGAACTGTGTCTCCTACTTGTCTCCAGCTAGGTTTCCGTCTCGGCAGGCCGAACTTCGTCTGGAGAAACCTCGAAAGGAGCTTGATGTGGTCAACTCAAAAATCACTTTGAAGGACCAGGCAGTCGATCTTCAATGCCAGCTTCACACGCCGCTGTGCCTGCATCATGCTCTTCATCGACGGGCACTTGCAATGGATCTCGTTGGGGTAGCCAGCTACAGTGTGAGCATGGAATTTCACGAGTACTTGATGTCACACCTTACCATGGAGCCACCGCCTGGCTATCATCAAGTCACACTGCATCAGGTTCTAGCAGCTGACCGAGCCGCTTGGTTGCGACTCGCGGAGAAACTTCCTAAAGGGCTTCGTGCTGGTCCCGATGGGAAACCCCCGCTGGATATCGAGCTCCCGAAATTGCAGGGCGACCCGAAAGTGGCTTTTCATCTCTTACCTCTGGGACCTTCTGCTTCATCATCCGGGAAGCGTTCGATGGATGGCGACCAGGGCCAGAACAACGATTCGAAGATCCAAAGGACTGGAGGCAAGGGTAAAGGGAAGGGCAAAACCAAAACTAAAGCCTTTCCTAAGTCTATGCCTGTGTCCCTCAAAGACAAGTGGTCGCGAACCAAACGCGGTGTTCCGATATGCTGGGCCTTCAACACGGAAGAGGGCTGTAGCTCAGCTCCAGCTGGAGGCAGATGCCCGAGGGGTGTCCACCTTTGCGCTGAACCTAACTGTCAAAAACCCCACTCGATCGTCAATCATGCAAAGGTTGCCAGTGGGTGAACTTTTCAGAACGCAGGTTGTGACTTGATTGAATCACTGGAGGTTTTCCTTAACCGGGCTAGGGCTCGGGTAACTGGTGTTTCGATCGAGGCACTCTTTGGAGTTGAAGTTTTTGCAGGGTCTGGTCGCTTGACTTGCGAGCTCCGCAGGCTGGGGCTTAATGATAGTATTGGTGTTGACAAGAATGTCGGCCGATGCTTGATCGCACCGGTGTTGCGTCTCGACCTTGGTGACGAGCAGGCGCGCGAGCTTGTCGTGCAAATGCTAGAAAATCCCAGTTGTGCCTACGTTCATGTTTCTCCCCCAGCCTTGAACCAGAAACATCGCAGTTTGAAGCACCGTGATGGTGCCGATGCTTCATGCTATTCAGCCTCGTGTAGCTTGTTGTACGAGTTCTGCGGGAAGCTCTTTAGCATGTGCTGGTCCAAAGGCATTCTCTTTTCTTGCGAAAACCCTGGACAGTCAGAGCTGTGGCGAACGCCACAGTGGTGCAAGCATACGTTGTGTTTAAATTCCATTGATACTGTTTTTCACATGTGCATGTGGGGATCTCTCAGCCCTCGTTTCACACGCATTGTTCATTCTGTGCCTTCGCTAACGCAGCTGGGTGTTCGTTGTTGCGGTGTAAGTTCCAGCCACACGCATGAGTCCCGGAACGTGCTCCATGACTCCACATTCCCCCTAGATCTCAGTCGTGCGTGGGCAAATGCAATTGTGGAGCAACTTGTTGCTTTGGGCGCCCTGCCTCGTGCGCGCTCCTTGGATGAGTCTCGAGCTCCCCTACACCGTGAAGCCCAGGTGGCAGCAGCTTCACAGCCAACACGCAAGAAGGTACCTCCTCTTGTTGGTGAATTTCGCTGCGTGGCGACAATTGACACGCCCAAGCCTTTTCTTGACACAGCTTCCAAGAAACTTGAGGGGCCAATTCCCATCCCTGCGGGTGCCAAGTGTGATACTACGTTGACCGTGCTACCGGCAGGTTCTCGCGTCATTCGCAGGCAGTTGCTGGGGGTGAGTTCGCCTGCTTTGAAGCTCGATGTAGGGTCGGAAACTAGCAATCCCACTAGCAGCCGTGTAGCTTCTGTTCCTGAAGTAAGCAAGCCCAGGCCTGATCGAGTGCAAGTGTGTTCTGAAGCCACTCATCCCGCAGAGGTTTTTGCTGCATCGTGCCTAAAGCTGGGGTATATCGACCCGGGAAAAATTTCCGAGTTCACTCAACTTCTTGAGTCGGAGCTTCCGGCCAGGGGGGATGGAGGTCAGCACGAATTTTCCTTCACGGTGGGATCCTTTGTTCATGGCGGTATTTATGGGCTTAGAACTTCTTCGGTTAACTTTCCGCTGACAACTCAGGTCCTTGCAAGGTTCATGCGCCAGCAGTGCCCAGACGCTGTTTTCACGAGCCTGGCTTTGATGAGGGATGTGCAAACAACATTACACATCGACACGAACAATTCATTACCCTACCTGAACACTGTGGCGAAGGTCACCAATTTCGAGGAAGGGGGTTTGTGGGTTCACAACGATCACGGCGACATGCCTTGCCCTGATGCAAATTTTGGGCAGCTGATGGGAACGAAGGTCGACTTCGAAAACGGAGTTATCAGGTTCGATTCGCATCTTAAGCATTGCACACTCCCGTGGGTCAAGGGGCCCCGTGTGGTTCTTATAGGGTTTGTCGTGAAGGGTCCCGAGTTGATGCCATCGGACTTAGTGAGTAACCTTGTTGCTTGTGAGTTCAACATGCCGGATGAACCCCTTGTGCAGCCTCTCCCCAACGAGGAACACTCCTCACCGGCAGGGCCCGAGGAGTCCCATTGGCATAGGGTTGTAGTAGGCATCCCATGGTTACCCGAAGAGTTCATCGGTAAAGCCCTGGAGGCTACGCACCCGAGGCACTTGATGACAGGCATCCCATCCGAACTAAAGTCCACAATCGATCAGCTTGTAACCCTTAGCCCATTTGAGGTTGGAGCCGAGAGGACGGCCCAGCTTAGGAAGTGGGTTGCGAGGGTACAGGAGGTTGAGCCGATGGAAAAGTTGATCAAGCAGCGGATGAGCGAATCTTGTGCAAAAGTCCTTCGGAGTAAACGCTTAGTGATCTTCAAAGAGATGCTTGAAGCCAGTGGTCACAAGGATGATTCGATAGTCGGCGACATTGCCGAAGGTTTCAAGCTTAGCGGTCCCATACCGCCATCTGGGGTTTACAGGTCAAAAAGAACTTCGGCGACCCTCACCACGGCGACGCTGAGAAGATCAGCACAGGTGCTTCGGAAAGGAATCATACACTCAACTAAGGGATCAGGCGACTTCGAGCTTGATTGTGCAACATTCGAAGCTACTCGTGATGAGCTTCATCGAGGTTGGCTTTTCGGACCTGTGCCAGAGAAGGACCTCCCTTCTGAGGCAGTGGTTACCCGTAGATTCGGCATACGCCAAGGAGGAAAGTGCAGACCCATCGACAATTACTTGGAATCAGGTGTCAACGCGACAACTAGCGCTGCAGACACCATCACTGTCCACTCGGCCGATGTGCTCGCTGCCGCCTTGTCATACCGCATCCACAAGCTCCGCTCAAAGCGACTGTCAGCAAGCTTGTACTCCAGGTCGTGGGATCTTGCCAAAGCATACAAGAATCTTGCGCTCCACCCTGAATCAGTCCCTGATGCTTTCCTGGCCGTATGGAACCCACATACACATAAGACTGAGATCTATGGCCAACTGGTGTTGCCATTTGGTGCCAGATCCAGCGTACACTCTTTTTGCAGAACTTCGCTGGGGATTTGGAACATAGGGGTGGTGTTGTTCCTCCTGCACTGGGGGGTATACTTCGACGACTTCTTGGGATCCGAAACACCCCGCCTGTCCAAGCTGTTCGAACTCTGCGCAGACGGGTTGTTCCTGATATTGGGCTGGGCTACATCCTCTGACAAAGCTTCGGTTTTTGATTCCATTTCGATTGTACTTGGCCTGAAGATCAATCTCTCCGAATCTGGAATCGGCTTCGTTTACTTTGAGAATACCGAGAAGAGGCGAGATGAGCTGGTGTCCACCCTCGGCGATGTCCTTTCTGCGGGGTTCCTTAGCCGCAAGGATGGCGAGCGACTACGTGGCAGGCTACAGTTCGCAGAGCAGCAGATTTCTGGCAAAAAGGCTGGATTGGCCTTTAAGGAACTCTCGAGGCATGTGACGAAAGGGGGCGGCAAGTTGGTACCCGAAACCATGGCTGCCTTGACCACCCTTAAAAACCACATTGCTTGTGCTCCAGCTCGCTGCATTGCGGATCGATCGTGCTTTACCTGGCACCTCTATGTCGAC